GGAAGTGTGTTGAACCCAACAACACTTTTCTCGTTGGCAAGATGACTTAAAAGGATGTATCCATTTATACCGCCAATGTTTGGCTGTGCCCGATATTATGCTATAATTTTTTATCAGAGTAAATAACAGGATGAAACTAGATTACTTATGATTCATTTAGGTGATGGTTTTACACTAGAAAACTCTTTCTAGTGTAAAATTTCGATTTAAATTATATTCAATGTTTAAATTTCTTAAATGACGATGAATTGCAAAGATATGTTATTTTGGTCTGCCAATGTATCTAATGATAACATTTAAATTAGCCACCCAATAAATTAAATGTTAAGTTTCGTAAAATTTACCTAATATAAAATGTACAAATTACACAACTAATATGGCAATAACAAAATAGTTACATTTTTATATTTAAAATACTTAATATTTCCAGTTTTTATTATCTCTTTTCTGAAGTATGATAAAAAACAAAAACTCCGCGCCATTCATATCAAACCTGAAAACCCCTTGTAAGCCGATAAGCTCGTACATACGCGGATTTCGCACAGAATTTCGTGGTACTCCAGCATCTGTATAGTTTGCTATTTGTACGTGAGAGAAAAAATAGAACCAATACCTATTTATTACCCTGCAAAAAGAAGCACTTCGCATAAGAAACTTATCATAGGTGTATTTACAAATGGATGTTGTGTCATATATACTTGACATATATAAGGATGAAAAGATAAGGCTCAAATATAAAAGTTGATTAAATAAGAAAAAAGCTGGGTTTTATTTGGCAAGTCATACAACTGAGACATGACTAAAACAATAAAAAGTAATAACAAAAAAACAGTTCATAATTTAATAAAAATGAGTTGATTAATGAATTATTATGAATCGTTTTGCCGGCAGCGTAACGCCATTGGTCGGCCTGATAATACAGCCAGATGATGTGGCTAGGTGTACATTATTAGCTTAATAACGGTCACAGGAGTGCTGATGGAGGTACGAATAATATCGCTGTTACTGTTATTTAGTGAATTTCACAGTTTATAATAGTAGCGAAGTAAACATTTTACGTTTACGAAATGCGAACCATCAAATGAATAAAATTAAATTGTCAGAAAGTAAGCATGAACTACGCCGAAGTAATTGGTGATATTGACATTAAAATGTATTATTAAATTCGAAATTATAACCGCAGCTGCGTGTGGCGACATTTTATCTTGAGTATTAAAAATAAAAGAGCAGTTTTCTAGGTAATGTTATTACTGAAACTACTTAATAAATAGTTTTATGTTCCTTATTTAGAATTATTATTACTTTACACATCTCACAAACGTAGAATATTAGTATAAATTAATATTCTAGTGTGTGTGAGATGTATAATGTTTTTTGCACTCCTGTGACCGTTATTAAGCTTACATTTGTGATTAAAATTTTGTATCTTATTATTAGTTTAATGCGAAAATTTGGAGAGATACTCAATCAATCCAGAACGGATGAGCGAATCTGGGTGAAATTTGAAGTAGAAGTTAAAGGACTCAGACTTAGAGTCATGGTGCGTGTGCGAGCTGACCTTCTCCAAACTCCTAAATCTACCCACATAAACAATAATATAAACGATAAAGGTATGAACTTTTCGAAGTAAGAGCTTGTAGAGTTAGAAGCTTGGCTCTACGTGAGATCTGATAACTTTTTAACAGTGCGAGCCATATGATCTCGTCTTGGCAATATTTTACATGTTTTTTTTTGTGCGATATCAAATAGCCATCCTCGATAAACATGCTATCCAACACTAAAATACTTTTTCAATTCGAACTAGTAGTTCCTAACGCATTTAATCACACAAACAAACAAGCTCTTCAACTTGATAATATTGGTATAGATTACTGACCTATTACTAATTCTACGCAAACGAAGATACAATTTCCAAGCTATACTCTACTGATGTCCCCTGAGACAGTGTCGGTTCAAAATAGATAGACATACAGTTAGCTCGGTGTGCCCCGAAGTGACTGCTATATATATATATCATCTTATGTTAGAAGTAAAAAATGAAATGATAAAATTTCTGATTTAAAGTTAAAAGACAAATTGATAAGCCGTATTTTATGTACTTTATTCAATACAGATACTGTATACGCGCATGGAGTAACGGTCACTCCGATGAAAGACATGGTTGATGTTTGTAGGGAGTATTGCAGATCTCTATTCTCAAAAAATTACAAAGCAGTCAACCGATATTCCAAGCAGTACACCGGTGACCGATAAAATGATATCTTGCAGGATGAAGTACGAGCGGCAATACAACACTTGAAAAGCAATAAAACAGTAGGCGTAAATGACAAATGACGCGATCGAATATTAAAGGCAATGGGAGAACCAGAAGCGCACTTTATGTGTATCGTCTTTTACAAAACATAGAAATCAGGCATTTAGCCAGAACATTGGTCTCGGTCAGTACTTATTCTCTTGTGCAGAAAAGGTTCCAACAAAAAGTTCAACCACTATATACTCATTCCGCTAATATCGCATACAAGTAAAGTCTTACTTTATATCATTAATGAAGGTTCCAAGCAAACCTATAGCCAAATTGCACCCAAACAAGCTGGATTACTAAAAGGGAGAGGAACGTGGGAACAAATACTACGGCAAATAATCAAAAAAGCCAGAGAATTTAACACACCGCTCTTCATCTGGTTTGTTGATTACCATAAATCGTTCGACCTAATTAAAGCTACGACAAATCGACTGCAGTACAATGTGCTCGCGATGCGGTAAACTGACAGACATGGAGGGACATCGCAAGACGCAGCATCGCTGATAGTACGCGGTGATGGCGAGCCGCTACCCTACCGACAACAGCCCCGACCGCTGCGGCAAGAGTGTCAGACTAAGAAGGATCGATACAAGATTTGAGAAGGTCAAGTAAACAGTATGTTTATAAAGTGATTAGAAATCAAATGGTCAAATGTAATTACATGGAGTTAAGTACGCATTTATCAAAGTCATGGCTATATAAACTTTGTTAAAATAGTCTTCTACTCAAAAGAGTCCATCCAAGTACCCAATTACTACTTAAAAGGATTCAAAAACTTTCTTATTTATTATTCTATTACTATGAACTAGTACCCGTACGTGTGGTAACCTACTTATTTATACAAATACCCCGAATTAACTGCACTAATCTGTATTCAATACTCTCGTAATATATATTGGCTTTCAATAAAGTTTGTTAAGCCCATTTGTTAATAAATTATAGGGAGTCGGTAACTCACTTTAGTTAATTTTTGCAAGCGTCGGATTTGCCACGTTTATTTACCATCAGCAAATTGAATGAACAGATACTTACACCGAAATTCTAAGAAATTTTTTCAGATCTTCTTAAAATAAAATTCAAATGAAACTTTTATAGGAAATGCTTAAATGAATTCTAAAAATATTCCTTCCGTTTCTGCGGTTGACTTGAAGTATAACGTCATAATAATTTAACAAAATTACTCTTTAAACTTTCTCGGAAGTTTATATGGATGACAGACATAAAATGTGAATATGATACATTATGCTGTCTTATATAATATCGCATTTCATATTTGTTTGTATTTAAGGTCGATGCAGGCTGTGAGGGTAATTTAGTTGAAAAAACGTCTAGTTAATAGAATGTAGTTAACTTTTAAATAATTTTTAGTTCAATGAATTGAAAAAAAAAAGTTTTAACACCTTCTAAGTTCATTATGTTTTACTGATTCCAACCATAAAACTCCTGAAGGAAACAAAATAAGATCACACTTGAGAGGTTTACTGGTAAACATTTAGCAGTTTCACTTTTCAATATTTTCTGAATTTACAATCGGTATGAGAGTTAAAAATTTTTTTCAAAGTCAATAGGTGAAGCTAAGAAAAGCATGCGAAAATAAACCTCTTTTAACTTTGAGCGAATGCGCTACACCCAAAAATAACATTAGAACAAAAGATATATGTAGTCTAAATAAAGCGTGAAAGGGTTTTGGAACGGCAAAAACTGGTATGCTATAAATACCTAGCAACATAATGGCTATTTGCTGAATTTCTATCAGTAGTTATAGTTTATGCTGAGTACTGTAATAGTGGCCGACTATAATTACATATCTCCAAACAGAGAAGTGAAGTAAGCACAACTCGTTCACTAATTGGTTAAGGAGTAATCTCAAGTGTCAACAGAGTTCGTCTGTTTATAATTATGCATATGACAAATAATCGAAGATACCTGTTTGATTAACAGGTTCTTTTATGACGGTTTCATTTTATGTTAGTTTTGTTCAAAGAAATATTTTACGAAATCATACGATTATAAGATGACATTACTTATGCTATAAAGCTATAATCATCGTGTCATTTATATTGTTTACTTTGTAAAGTAAATTTAAGGAAAGAATATTTAAATGTTTAGACGATTTTTTTCTTTTTAATGTTTATACTGAGCTCTAACTGGTTATATAATAATAACTGGACACATCTCACACACGACTGTTTCTGAATAACCAGTTTGCTGCATAGAATGAAATAAAATAAAATGAAACTTCTATATAGAGATGTATTAACCATCACCGTAAAAAATATGCAAAGGAATATTGACTGTTAAGGTATATTTATTATACCAATTTTTTTGTTTGTACTTTTTTATATTTGATAAAGGTAAATCACTTTTTTCGGAATAGTAAATATGTTGTTGCAACATGGGATTCAATGGAAATAGAAAATAGGACCCATCATTAACACGTAAAAAAGTGGGATCTATTTTCTTTGGATCCCATAGGATCCAAAGAAAGTAAATCTACATAAATACACGGAAACATTGTGAACCATAACACTAATACTAAGTAAGACCAATTAAGGCACTAGTACTCCTGTTCCATAATTTTTCTAGAAAAGTTTATCTATATTATTCCAACTTAGAAGCTTAGGTTCTAAGATAAGTGGCTAAAATTTTCTCAAAAGTAAATAAATTTTTAGAAAAAAATATATATATTTATACTCACCGAATACAGTCATATGTTTACTCTTGAAGTCTTCATCAATAAACGTTGACACAACACATATGTATTCACCCGATATATCAGTATCTAATTTAACTATTCTTAACGCTCTGTACATTTTTAGTGGATCGTCAGACGCTTTATAACTTAAATCCACCCGCCCCCTTAAAACTCCTATATCCTGTGGTTTTTGTGACACTATCCACTGATACACTGGTTTCGTTTTGCTTCTGAAAAACCATTTCACCATTAGTCCAGGCGTTTTATTTCCATATGTATAGTCACAGTCTAATATTACGGAATCTTGTACACCATACTGAATTATCTCTGGCACTACTAATTTCACTATTTTTATTGCGTGTAAACCTGCAACAAAAGAAAGGAACATTAAATTTAACAAATTAGGTCGAATTTGGTTAATGTTATGGTAATAGCATAATGACACAATAATAATGTGGCTATTATTATTTAATAATCTGGTTACATTCTCACGCTAGATATGACTTTGATATAAGTAGAAACAAAAGGCAAATAGTTGCTAAGAATAAGTTGTGTATTCTGGACCTTTTTTATGGTATAAAGGGGCAAACGAGCAGACGGGTACTTGATGGTTAGCAACTACCACCGTTCATGGACACCTGCAACTTAAAAGTCACAAATGCGTTGCTGCCCTTGGAATCCCTCCCACTCGAGTCAGCGGGAGGGGGGATTTGGGCCCCGGTAACCTCACTCACTCAGTGAAAGGCAACGAAAGAATTGCTAAACACCGGTTTTCTGTGAGGCCATGGTATCTCTCCGGTCGAGCCGGCCTATTCGTGCCGAAGCATGTCTCTCTCACGTCTAAAGAATTTGATTTAAAATGATGAACAGTAGTGTATTAATAAAGAAAAGGTGCTTTAGAAGCAAAACAATATACATGAACAACAAAGAGACTTATTTCATAAATGACAACTCGCATTATCGTTGACAGAAACAATAATAAATAGGTACGCAATATTGACGGAAAGAGGGCATCGAAACGTTTCCTTGATAATGTAAATGATTAATATTCATTAGACAACAAACAGTTGCTGAGATACGTTGTCTCTTCAGGCTGTTTAAAGAAAATTTCCTTAGTCTAATCTATATCCATCAGTCTTGTAGTTCGCCAACCATTAATATTTATGCAATTCCCAAGTCAACGCTGTTGAAAGCTCATTTAAATTCATCCTCGGTTCTACTTAAAAGCGAGAGTAGGCAATATCTAAAAATTTATTTTAGTAGCACTTAAAATTTTACAGCCACTGAAATGCAGATATAGAGCAAAGTTAATAACTAAATCATAAAGCTGCTTTAAGTTATAAAAAGAAGTCTAACATTTTGAAATGCTGTACAGCTTCAGTAAAGTGTGAAGACAACTTTACAAGTTTGTATTCGCTAAGGTTGACGGAGAGGATGACATAATGGCCTCTTAACCGCCAACAAGTTAGACTACTGCTTTCGACGGATATCTAATTTCCACGTACAAAATAGTTGTTTACATGGTGTATACCAGTTGTGTTAATAACGTATCGTTCGAACAGAGAATACGTGTAAGTAACATTAATTTCTTATAATTTATTTGTTTACAAATTGATCTAATCACAATAAAAACTAAAAATTAAAAAGACAAGGTTCATTATTATTATTGTTTTATTAATTATATCTTTATTATTTACAGTTAACACATAAATAAATATGAGTTACAAATATGTAGAGTACCTAGTCTTATCGTTTATAAAATTTATATATTTAAATTACATACATTTTTTATTGGGACTAATCCCGCCCACACGCCCACCACTGTAACTCCTGTACACGAGGATCCACAGCAGTGACCCACGAACACACCGAGTTATGACACTCGGGAAGTCCCAGGAAGAAATTAAACTGTCTTGGAACCCGCAACGAAATTAATCAGAAGAAAATTGGAGGAGTTGGAAATACAGTAAATCCACTTCCCTCCTTAGCAAAGCGGGAGACAAAATGAAGTAAAATGGGCATACACCGTTTTAAACAGGGAAGCACCACGGCCACAAAATATTACGGGTCCTACATGAGCTATATTTGATTTCTATAATATGTATGGCAGAATCGCCTAAACGCACGGAAATTCACCCCAGTTGACACAAGATCCCCATAGTATACCGCCCCAGATGTCACCTGCAAGCTATTCAGCATTATATTACGTTCATTATACCAAAGACTACATTCCCAGAGGATATGATGAGCAGACTGTTCATAGTGAGAGTTAGGTGTTGAGCATTGACACAATGGTGACTCGACTAATTTAAATGAATAAAGCTTGCTCTTAAAGTTACCATGACCCGTAAGAAATTGAGCGACACAGTGATCCACCTCAAGCCATGTCCTCGACAACCGTTCGCGAACAGATGGAAAGAATTGGTAAAGATGGCGCCCCTTGGATGATTCATCCCAGCGTTGTTGCCATTCGTCTATGAGGTCATTATAGACATCGGACTGCTGTTGAAGCAATCTTGTAATTTTACCGCGATGTTTTGTTGTCTTGAATAGTACATGGCTGCACGTCTCTGCACCTCGAGATCGACCGGAAGCACACCCGCCAACACCGGCAAAGCCTCAGTGCTGACCGTCCTATATGCCTTGCACAAGAATATCAGTGCAAGTCGTTGGCCTTGTAACAGTTTGCGACGGACAGCGCCTACGGTCGCCCTATCGGCCCATACAGGTGCACCATAGCACATAGAACCTAAATAAGTAACTCCGTATATGATCTTTAATGTATTAAATGATAGACCCCATGTCGCAGTTGATATCCTTGTCAATGCACAGAAACTCTTTTTAGACTTTTCATTAACTATTTTAATATGTTCGATAAATGAAAAGTTTCTTTCTAAAACTAATCCTAGGTAACACACTGAGGCCTTATTTTTTACAGTAACATTGTCAAATCTAATGCTTGGCGGTGATTTGAGGTTACCTTTTAAAAGTAGCTGGAAGCTTTTGTTGGGTGCAAAATTTAAGCGATTACGATCACCCCATTGAGATATCAAGTTCAAACATCTATTGGCTAATCTCTCAAGCCCCGCCCTAGTATCAGATTCCACCAATAATAAGCCGTCATCAGCATACGCGTTCAGAGTACATCCGGATGGTATTGGTATCGTCGAAGCCGATATTCCACAAGTATGGACCTAGCACCGATCCCTGAGGACATCCCATTGTAAGCGCCTTCGACACAGAATGATGACCAAGTCTTAGTTTAGTAGTACCTTGTGAAAAGTACGAAGATATGAGGGAATAAATATTTTTAAAGCACCCCCGTGATTTTAATTTCAGCAACAGCATGGGCCACCATGCGTTGTCGAAGGCGCCAGATATATCTAAGAAAATAGCCAGCACGTATTGACATTTTGACTCTGTGACAAACTTTCTAACCGATATAACAGCGTCAGTTGTCGATTTACCCAACGTAAATCAAAATTGTCTATCATGAAATTTGACTCCACCTGGCAGAAGAAGGGGCACTTTTACATTACATACATTTATGAAGTATTACTTTTTTTCTGGTTGTTTGAGAATTTGTACATATATAATGACAGCCCAGCTGACGACACACCGTTGCTCATAACCATCTTTAAATACAACTGTCACATAAATCGAAAACCAATAATACCGGTTTGAGATTATTAGCAATATATTAAAGTAAAATAACTTTTTTTTTCTGACGGGCCTGTTGTTCTGGTATTTGTAACCTAACCTAACCTAACTAGTAAGCCGAAGGTCCGGATTTCGATTTCCACTCAGGACAAATAATTGTGTGTAAAGCTGTTGGTCTTCCAAAATCAATTAAATAAATAAAGATTCCAAACACTGCACTAATTTTACTTCTGTGAGATCTATTGACATCGATAATCGAGTGTCCATTAACTACAATATGATATCGATTATCAAAACTACCATTATCCTATTAACCTAACTATATCGAAATAAAAATTGTACATTTCTTAATCTGGACGAAATTCAATGTCCCCATATTCCATACGCGCGGAGGCTAGCTTTCTAGCGGGCCACCCTTGTTATAGCGATGTATTTTTTATGCGGTTCTCGAGATTATTCAGTCGTAAACACTACAAAATATTCTCCAAGCATAAAGCTGTGTTTTAACTAGTAGTCATGTCGAGTCTAGTATTGTTATGGCTGAGAACTTTTTAACTACATTTCTATAAATTTTCGTCAAAAAAATTGTTAAAAAAAAAAGTGTCTACAACTTTATATCGGTTGCTTATAGCTATAAATGTAATAAGAATATAAATTTATGTTCATCAATTATCTACAGTCTTTAATAGTCGACTAATGGAGATAGACATCTTCTTTTATCCATATAAGTGAAGAATTTTTTAATATTTATTTTTAAGCAAACATGTCTCACTTACGGCTGCCAGACCTGGCCACTAACACAAAAAATTGAGCACAAACTGGGAGTATTCCAAAGAGGAATGGAAAGAAGTATGTTGAGACTTAAGTTAAAAGACAAGTGGAAAGCTACAACAATTAGGAACATAACCAAAGTAGCAGATGTTAAAATGGATGTTAAAATGATTGTTGAAATGGAAATGGACTGGTTACATGATGAGATCAACAACAGGAAAGTGGACCAAAAAAGTAACAGAATGGTACCCGCGGGACAGCAAAAGACGTAGAGGAAGGCATAAAAAAAGATGGGAAGATGATCTGCCCAAAGGTTGGAGAAGGGCAGCAATGGACAAGCAAATGTGGAGGGAACTTGAGGAGGCCTATGTCGCAAGACAACCTGACCTGGTAACTGATATTAAAAGTTAAGTTTTATACATACAGAAAATAGAAATAAGTAAAGATATTATAATATAGTTAAGTAAAGTTAGTATAGTTTTGTTTTTATTTTATTGTAATACAAATTGTGCAAGGTCAGAGTAAATAAAGGCTATTTTTATTTTTAAACATGGCGAAAAAAAGCATGTCACATTTGGAATACTTAATATTTACACATATAATAGCAGTGCAAAAATATATTTTTAAACATTGCGTCCCACAAAGAACCATAAAACTACTAATTACGTAAAAATAGCTCCATACAACTATAAGATTCCAGAATAAATACAAGAGTTAACACACCCAAATTAAACTAGTCGATGAAATATAACAAGACAATCAAACAGGACGATCTCTATTTTAAAGAATAACTCACTGATTTTTAAGTATCAATAACATAAAAAAACGTAATAACGATGGATGAAGTATTTTATTATTACAGTCAATTTGACTTTTGTAGGAATTCAACATGAAAGCACCAAACGTCTGCTTTCTCCTTCAAAATACGAAGTCGT